GGCAAGCAAGTCGATCAAGTGATATTAAGTTTTGCGCTGCCCCCTACGTTCCGATCGACTTTTCATCTGCTCGAAAACCGAATAACTTTATGGTTGTTGGACTTTTGAAAGGCATAAAATATAAATAAATGAAGAAGCAATGATTTTTATTTTCCAATGTTTCATGAAAGTTCTATTCCTTATAACTTAATTACTTCAAAATAAGTAGTTACATATTTACGGCTCACCTTACCCGTATAATTGATGCATCTAGAGAAACTAACTTTCTCTCTCTGTCTCGCTTTAGAGATCAAGATTGATTATATTTACACACTGAGTATTTCAGTAGTAAATTCGCCAGTAAATTCGTCATTTTATTTAAAAGATCACTCGAATATTTTATCGAAACTTACTTGAGCTAATTGAATTTTATAAAATATTTCTATTAATAATAGACATATTTTGCTATTCCCGAGGAGAACTGAGTCGTTATGATTTAACTGCTAATAGTAATATTTCACGAATGTATAGAATTAGAATGTATAGATGTATATATATAAATGAATAGAATGTATAGAATGTGTAGAATTACGCAGATGTTAAAAATAATTAATTTAATTCTCGTTTGATTTTTGCATTTTAAAGGTTGTAATAGCCTTACTGAAATTAGACATATTTTTTTCTAAAAATTTCTAAAAATATACCCCCCCCCCAAACACCACACCACACCACACCTACCACACCACATTTCGTTCTAATCCATTGTATTCGTTACATTTTCATCTATTCTTATTGAACGAAAATCAGAAAATTAATAAACGATAAATAATATACTAAAGAAATTTTATGTTAATTGCCAATTACGTTAATATTTTTAGACAGCTATAGGAAAATTATTTTGCTCGATTTCTTATAAATTCATATTAATCAACTAGATAATTAAATCTATATGCAAATATTTTATAATAAATTTCATAAAACGTAAGATAATCACTAGCTACTAAGTCATATATATTAAATGCACGTATCGATCATTTTCCGACAAAATTTTTAATAATGATTTCATTATTTTATAACAGCAATTTCATGTTAAAACTTGATATAAAATTATATCGATCGCAAAAATATTCTTACATGTAATTCTAAATTGGTAAATAAATCATATAATCACGTGTCGTATTATCGTAATTTTTATAATAAATTTCACTATACCGATATATTTCCAATATAAATAATATTTAAATAATTTATTCAACAATATAGTCCTCTTACTTAAACCTTATTGCAAGCAAAATAAATATCCTACAAATTCTTGAGATCACAAGAAAAATGGAAATTATATTCAAATATTAAAAAAAAAAAGTCCTGGATAGATTAGTTAAAACTTGTTTTAACTTACACTCTTATTCTTATGACTCATTACAAAATTATTACGCACTATTGTTGCATTAAATGAAAATTATGTCATCTTGTGAATCAAATAGCTCATTATGTTAAAATGTTTCCAATAAACCATTAAGTTAACTTATTGTAGCAATTGCCACATTTCTTTTTGCTATTTAATATTATATAATCAGTATTATACTAAAGTATCACTATATACAATACTTATTGTATTGAGAAGGAAGCGGAAGAGTTTTTTTTTTCATTCTTTTTTAAACATTTTGTTATTTCTATAGCAACGAATAGAATTGACTCAGCAAGTAATGTCGCGATTGATTCAATAAAAGATAGGATATTCTGATATCTAGTGTCGTTTGTTTTATGTTAATAATACTTATTGCTCTTATTTCTTTTTTCTTTTTCTTTTTTTTTTTTGCTGATAAATTATGGTAGAAGCCATAAATTTCAAAATCTTGTTCATACCTTTGGCGTGTAATTCTATTTGACAGAGAGTATAGAGAACATACATTACGAAAATGCAAAAAATTTGCCAACGAATGAATTATGTATTATTAATTTTGCTACTAATTTTCTCTCGTATGATTTTTATTTGAAGATATTGAATTTAACGTCTCATTATCATAATTGGAAATTGTTAATTTAATGAAGTAATAAACAGTATAATGAGATGCACTTGACTGAGTTTGAATAAGAATATGTATCATTATTTTATGTAAGAGATCTCCAATACTAAAATACTAGAAGCTTATTAGGATATTAGTGATTATTCATAAAATTTCGCAAAACTTGATGTTTCATTCATTAAAGGAAACGCTGAATATCATTTGGCTTTAGATAATATATAATGCGATCGATATCAATTAAATTACCATTTAAAGCAAAACATTCATTATAAATTATAAAATTTATACCAAAAACAAACACATTTATTGGTATTCAGACTATGTGTTCTTATATCTGAATACATTTTACAATTGCAAATGTAAAATAAAAATCAAATAAAAGTACGCATTAATAAAGCTGGTAAAGTGTTTACAACATCAAATAAATGGAAATTAATCATGCTCAATGATTAAAATTATCAATAAAATATGACAAATATCTGCACGAATAATTGAAATTGGAATTAATACTAATTTATTGTGCGCTGTTTATAAACTCAATGAATTGGACATTTAAATGGGAATAGTAATTCTTTGTTTTTAAGATTATTTATAGATAGATTTAGTAATAATTAATAGAACAAGTATTTATTTCATGCTATTGATATGATTAATGGAAAGCATTTGCTAAAGCATTACGTATATTAATATTAGACAATAATAAAATGTATAGAAAGTCGAACGAGCATATACGTGTTGAAGGCCAATTTCTATATATTGGGATAAGAAGTGGATTGAGAATTATTAAAGTAACCTCATTTATACAATAATTATAATTATATTGATGTACTTTTCATAATCATGTACTATACGTGACTCGTAAAATATCATTAAATTATTGTAGAATTTCTATTTGATGAATCTTTTATTGATTTGTTGTTTAACATTATAATTATTTTCTCGTCTTATTATATGGTCTATACATATATATTTATTTAAATTAGAAATTAGAAGTTAATAAAATTATATGTACTTTCAATCATACATCAAGTATACCAAAGAGTTTAATTAAGCGGCAATCGAGAATATTTTAAAACGATGTCAAAACTAATCGAATGAGAATGCGAAAAGTTACACAAGCGCAAGAAATGTATTTCCGACAAGTAAGTGCGCAAACACGAACGAAATCCATCCATTATTGTTCAAAAGTGAATCATTATCCAGCAAAGACAGAGGTAATGTCACGTTATGACGAAATCTATAAAATCTCGTTCCCGAGCCTCTGACGTTCGCTCGGCATCATCATCGGCTAAATCTACAAGGTCGAATGTTGTAGGCAGAAAAGCGAATGGAACGTGCGATAAGGCGGTGGCGGTGGCGGTGGCGGTGACGGTGGCGGTGGCGGTAGCGGCGACTTTGGCGTCGGCTAATCTCATTACTTTTCCCCCACGGCACATCGTTTCCCGTTTCTGGAGCTTGTGTTAGACGCAAAAATATCATTTCACAACCACCACTGACCACAAACATTCTACCCCATCGACTCATTCATTATGCATTATCATCAACACGAAAGAGAGTGAACTGGTTTAGAGGAAAATTCACCCGTAAAGCGGTTTTCCCTTTAGGCAGAGAAATAAAATGATTGCAAACAAGCAGCCAGACAATAGGTGTCACCCTTCTCATTTCGTAGCAAGTGTCGAGCACTTTTTGTCACCAGCTTTAGAGGAGCATTCCGATCGACGACGCTGGACCTTTAGGCTCGGATTTTTAAGCCAATGTACGCTTTCCCGAATATTGACGTACGCGTCCTCCTCTAGAAGAAAAGAGGGGCTAGGGTCGAGAACTGCTGCTGCTGCTGCTGCTGTTCATGCCGCCGATGCCATCGCTGCCACCTAGTCGCCGATTAAGAATTGCACAATAACACACCAGGCGAGTCTCATCCATATTCATGCTCACGGTCCTCCCTTTCGATTTCGTCCGACGATCGCATCTTTTGTCCCCGTCCATGCTCAAACTCATCCTTCGCTCCAATCACCACGACTTTCCTACCATCGGAAAAGCTAATTTCACTTCATCCCCATTTTCATCTCGTATTCCTCCGCTGTCTTATCAGATTCGCGGACACGTGTAGCCGGAAGCGCAATGCGTATCGCGCGCGCTACGAGAAGTGTGTCAAGTGAAAAGCGGCGGGAAGTCGACGAGGCGCGTTCAACCTATTCGAGCGCATATGATTTCGGGATTTGATTCGTTGTTCGGTGCGTAATTGGCAATGAGTGGACGCGACATCCGACTTACTCACTCATCCTCCCTCGATTGGCGGCGAATTTCTGCGTCCAACGACCCAACCCCGTTTCCCTTCGGTCCTCCCTCGTGCCAATACTCGACGAGGGCACATGCTAGACTGCGCGAACGAGCCCCGATCTTTTTCGCACCCTCTTGACGTCGACGAGGGCTTCGCGGTAGAGGCGAGTGCTTATGCGGCAACGAAGTCTAATATCATCGGGTTACTCATTGCTCGATAGCATCTTCATTTGCGAGAAAATGATGCGATAACAAAGGAACGTAAAACGATCGCTCAGGATGTATGGATGTACCAAGGTCAGGAGGAAGCGGGACAAGAATCGTGACACCGCCGTCGCCATGGCGACTTAAAGGGTAAATCCTAGGGAAGGGCGGCCTTCCTAACCTATCATCTAACCTCAAAGAATGAAAGCAGGCGGACTCTGCAGCGAGTGGTAATAGCTGTACGGAGCAATTTCCATACTCGAGTTTACCGTAATTGGGAATAAGAACGGGTGCGCGTGACTTGCCACGGCGCAACTACATCTAAGGATAGTTTTGTAAATGTGCATGTTTGCGGGAATGCGTATTGCGGGCACATGAGCGAGCGAGCGCGCGCGCGCTCGCCCGTACCCGCGCTTGTATGCGTTTCACGTCGCTTATGTCGCCAATGAAGATAGGATGCGTGAGGAAGAGCGCGGAGGGAAGGAGAGCAAGGAAAAAAAGATGGCTAACCTGAGAGTCTAGCGAGGAAGCGCAGCATGCCAGCGGCCGAGGACAAGCAGCGAGTAGTCGCCGTACCGGCGATCGGCATCGGTCGACGTAGTCTTCTCTTCTCTCGTTCTTGTCCTCGTCCTCGTCCTCGTCTTCGTCGTCGTCGTCGTCGTCGTCTTCGTCGCCGTTATCGTTATCGTTATCGTTATCGTTATTGTCGTCGTCGTCGTCGTCGTCGTCGTCGTCGTCGTCGTTGTCGTCGTTGTTGTTGTTCCTCTCCTCTTCCCTCTCCCTCTCCTTCTTGTCTTCTTCTGCTGTCGCTGCTGCTGCTTCTGCTGGCGGAGCAGCAGCGCCTCGACGTGTCGTCGTGCCGCCTCCGCTCGGCCTCTTCCAGGTCGGCGCGGGGCCTCTCCTTGCGGCACTCACGTTGTTTATTGCGTGCTTGGTGTTTGCGTGCGTGTGCGGACGTCTGTCTCTCTCGGTTGTCTATGTTGAGAGGTAGCCACAGCGCACCGCCTTTCTCTCGCTCGGCGCGCACGCAACAAACAACCTAACCTCAACTCGCGGGCGCGACACTTCTCCCGTATCTCTGTCCCTTTCTCTTCTCTCTCACTCTCTATTGCTCTTTCTCTCTTTATCTATCTCTATCTCTCTTGCTTCTCTTCTCTTTCTTTCTCTCTCTCGCTTCCTTTTGAACAATCGGCGAGCGCACGGTTGTTGACGTTGTTTAATTTCGATATGACAAACGAAAAAGAGAGGAGAGATAAAAACAAACGTGACGTCTTGCTCGCTCTGCTGGGAGGAGCGGACGCGTGTGTTTACGTCTGTATGAGTGTGCGGTATACAAGTTATGGGGAGGGGGTAGTGGTGCTCAGAGAGGCGAGGATAGTACGGTAGATTGAGAGATAGGCAAAGAGGGATTATAAAGGGCGAGATGAGGCCAAAAGACGGAGACAGAGTTATACGTAGAAAGAGAGCCCGAGACTTTCGATCGAACGTCTCTTTTCTTTCTCGCTCTCTCTCTCTTACTCAGTCTATGAGGCGAACTGCCGCTTCTCCGCGTTCCCATGCCCGCTTCTTCCTCTTCCTCTTCCTCTTCCTCCTCCTCTTCCTCCTCCTCCTCCTCCTTCACCAACACCTACTTCTACTATTACTCCTCCTCCTCCGCCACCGCTGCCTTTTCTTATTCTTACGTTATTTCACTACGACGTACTTCTGTAGCACTGAACGAGCGCGCACCTAAGCACACACATATACATATATGTATGTATGTACGTATACTCTTCTTATATATGCAGGCACTATAAAGCTCTCTTTACTTTTCCTCCGTATCGCCTTCTCCTAGTCCCCTTCGCGATTTCTCCTTCTCGGTGTATTTTCTCTACTGTAAGTAACACGCGACAGTACGCGACCGTAGGACACGTCGAGTTCACCACCGACAGGCTAGGTAGAGGGCAAGGGAGAGCCGGAGCGGGTCTGTCACCTTATTAACGCACACCTACACCTTCCTTTACCCCTTCTACTCGTGGGGCGACACTTGACACACTGGCTAATTCAACGGACAGCCACCACAGTTGATACGCGCACAGGTATTCCCGTACTGTCTGGCGCGCTCTCTCTCTCTCTCTCTCTCTCTCTTTCTCTCTCTATCTTTTTCCAACAAGCACTCGATCGCTCGCTCGGTTTTAGAGGTTATGGTCCGGGAATCCGGGGACAAAGTGCGTTCGGCGCGAGCCAACGTGTCGCGATCGTCAGGTGCTGCAACGAGCTACGACGAAGTGAGCGGAGCTACCGGTACACGATCCGCTCCGCTGTCTGGGACTACAGTGGCTAATAAACGGGAGTGGCAGCCGCGAAACGTCGCGTGCCATTTCCACATCGGCGCGGTCGCAACCGTGGCCGTCAATGCGATGTCGGGGCGGAGCAACTTCGACCTACTTGGGGCGAGCTCATCCCAGGATCGCATAGCTCGAGGTGCCGCTCTGTCACTCGTAGACGACGGCTGGCCAGACGGCCAGCAGCAGGAAAAACACGAACAGGGCCAAGAGCGCTAGTATCGCAAGCACTATGGTCATAATTTACACCCGGATAAGGAGGGGGAGGGGCTACGGCCACCTCCAGGGCGAGTCCTCGCCCTCGAGAGTCGTTGCTCGAGTGGGTCGACAGAATAATCTCTCCTTTCGAATCCGTTTTTTTCGCCGAAAGCTGCGACAATCGTTTCAGTGCCGTCTATCTCTTCCCGAAGTGTGTATATGTGTGCGCGCGCGCGCGCACTGTCCCTCTCTCACTCCTTCTCTTTCTCCCTCAAGCTCGGCGGAATCGAGCATCAAATGACCCGTCCGCGCGGCTGCACGACCAAGAGCCAACTGCCGTATCCGCCGCCGCCTGCCACTGTTGGGCTCTTCTCTCACTCTTCCAGGCGGCCGCTGCGCCGTCACCTCTACCCTCGCCCTCTCTCACTCACACGCCTTTTCCAATGCATCTGCCCTGCGCTTATATGTGTGTGCTTATATATATATATATATATATATATATATATATACATATGTATGCATATGCAATGTGTAAACACGCATGCATGCATACACGCATGCACACACGCACGCATGAGTATATGCTACAAAGATGTCTTGCTCTGTCGCGCGTGCGGTCTTCACTCTTCTCTTCTCCCTCTCCGCTGCACCGCCAGCCGCCCACCATCAATGCCGCCGTCGCTACCACCGCCGCTGCCGCCGCCGCCGCCGCTGCCGCTGCCGTCTAGATATATACGCTCTTGCTTACACTCCCGCTCTTTCTCTCTCGTACTCAGTCACTCGCTCTGCCTGTCGTTGGCTCTTCGACTTTTAGCGCCATGAAATTTCCTCTCGTTCCTACCTAGAGTTGCACTCGTGATGAATCTTTTTATTTCATTCGTCTCTTTCCATGGCTACGTTGCGTGCGTTTCGAATCAATTTTCATCAGCTATCCTTGTTGGGCATCACTATCGTGATACTAGCCAAGCGAGCGAAACAAACATAGATAGATAGATAGATAGATAGAGATAGAGATAGATAAATTGAGAATGTATATTATATATATATATATATATATATATATATATATATATATGTAAGTAGAGAGAGAGAGAGAGAGAGAGAGAGAGTGAGTGAAATATGTGAGACGGTGGGCGGGAGGGAGACAGGGAATGAACGAGCCGGAGTGCGCGAAGGGCTAGTGGGGCAGAGAGAGCTGTACGAATGAATGGTTCTCTCTTTGGCAAGCAGACATACACATGCGGATAGGTGGATCGTAGGTGCATATATGTGCATACTTAGGAGCTGCAGGCGAGAGCGAATGTGCGGAATTAACCGAGGCTGGTCGGAAACGCACGAGCACAACTTCCCGCATTACAGCACTTCTTGAATAAAATTCCATTCCATCTCGCTCTCTCTCTCTCTCTCTCTCTCTCTCTATATATATATATATATATATATCTACCTCTACCTATATCTCTCTCACTCACACTTCTTTTATAGGCTGCACTTTGCCACTGCATGCGTATGTGCTCCATGTACTTTTGTACAGTTTTTGTAAGCCATTGCGCTTATCCAGATTGTTTAACGGGTAAATTATTAAAACGAACAGATTTTAGCCCTTAACTTTGCAAAGGCTAATTTTAGGGCTGGGACTGTTACTAATACGCATTATAATTATTAATAATGTAATTTATGTGTCGGACGACTACAATGCAGCGATAATAGTAATGAGCCCTTTTGAGTATTTGGCCCTAGTGATATAATCTACGTATCTTTTGACATACTTTAGAGACGGAAATATTTATTAACGTTATGTAGCACTAACGCTAACTAGATTTTTGTGTTTCATTCGTCACCAATTTAGTACAAAGGCAAATTTGCAAATAAATTATTGTACGTATAAAATATCTATAATGCACTAATTTAAATAAAAGTATAGTTTATCACACGAGTGCAATGTGCATTCATCTTTCGAGATATATGCACATATAAGCGCTCGCGCATACACACACACACACACACACACACACTCACGCACGCCCGCGGTCACACGCGCATCCACACGCGCGCGCGCGCAATGCTCAGTTTTAATAAGATTAGCTGTAATCGTAATGATAAATACAATCATGTAGAGATATATGTAATTGCTCCATTGTCCGTTATTTAACAAATTTATTGTAAAGTAAATTTTCTGAATATTATCATGCAGTAAAAACAAAATATAGTAATTCTTCACTTATAGTCTCGAGAAATTTGCTTAAACACTTTACTGAGGTGTATCAAGCACAATTTACTTTGTACGCTTAAGCAAAGTTGACATAAGACTTAAAGGGATGAATTAGTTCTACGATAATGACAGAGCATAGATCATCCAAACACTTTATTAAATGGAAAATTACATTTGCCTTTTTTTTTCTATTTTTTTTTTTTTTTTTTTTTTATTATAATAATAAGAAATAATTTACTACAAAATAAAAAAATTAATGCGAATGAAAAATATGACAAAAAAAATCTCTACTTTATAAAGTTTCCGTAAAAATAATAATTTTCCTCCACTAAATTAAATTAAGAACAACATAATAATAAGACTTTGAACACTGATGGTTTAGATTAAAGTACAGGATTTAGGTTTCGTTTGGTAAAAAAGGTTTTGTAATATCCGTGATCGTCTATTGGCCCATCTATGTAATTACAATGGAAAAAAGAATGAAAAACATAAAATTCTCATCCCTAAAATTTAATTTCATCTTGATACGGAGAGTACTAAAAATACTTTATACGGACATATTCGTGTGCATTTATATTTACGTGTACACGTAATGGAAACCTTGTAAAAAACATTGACGTGAAAAAATTGTAAGATAATTATTGCAATATTTGTTATTCAATCGAGGTTTTTTAATCGGATAATCCAATAATTATCTTAATAGATATATATCTTTATACGGGCCGTTGAATAAGAAATAAAGTGTAAAAATTGTGAGTAAAATTTTATATTCCACAGCGTGCGATAAGGTAATATTAAAATAATAAAAAGGAAAAACAGCGTTTATTTAAAACTTATATTTAACCGAAAATTTTCCGATAAATTTCTTATGCCATTCTATTTATTGTTAATTATGTAACTAGATTATACAAAAAACAAAAAACAAAAAACAAAAAAATGAGCTTATTGCTTTCAGACACGCACTTGGGATTATCTAGATACAATTATGAAAGCTTATATTTTATTATTATAGTTTACGAAGATGAAATTCCATTTTATTAACAAGATTCAAAATTAGATTATCATGAAAAGAGAAAAACTACATTTTAGAATGTATTAAAGCCTATGTATAAAATTACAGTATATAATTGAAAATTTATAGAAGCCACGACAATGATTAATAAATATGTGTATACGTTGTTTCATCTATCATATGTTTTGTTGTAGGCGTGGTAATCGTTGTAATTATTAAAAAAAAAACTCTCAAATTATCAAAATTTTCGAGCGGTAGTTGAATAAACGATAAACGTAGTAATTTTTTGCCCGGCTTTTTTTTTTGCTGCATTAAAAACTATATTTAACAATTAATATCAATATAAGAGATGCCGTACTATTTTTAATAGTGATGTCTTCGTCAATTAATATGGACGTTCGAATGGCAGGAAATATAATCATACAGTACTCACAACATTCCATAAAACCTTCTCAACTCAATTCTGGTCTAGTTAAACTCATTTGACACTGTAATGCAATTTTTACGATTCTCGTGTCTACTCGTTTCTAAAATGCTCGTTTCTACTTCTTAAAGATGTTTTCCTTTGGAAACCAGAGAGAAGGAGATATTGTGAGTGTGATGAGCGGTGTGTGCGCGCGCGTGTATGCGTGTGGCAATCGGCAACGTCAGCCACGTCGACGCTGGTACAAAGATGATTTTTTAACGAGCGCTCTCGGGGGGCCCCATGAAATAAGGGGAAGAAAGAGAACCGTAGGAGAAGAAAAGGATCCGCCGCCTTGAGGTGGTCACGCGCCGGAGAGCGAGAGAGAGACGATGGCACGGGCTCGACGTGCCTTAATCCCCTCGAAAAGTTGAAAACACCTTTTCCGATATGTATTCCCTCTCTCTCTCTCTCTCTCTCTCTCTCTCTCTCTCTCTCTCTCTATCTATCTATCTATCTATCTATCTATCTCTCTCTCTCTCTCCTTCCTTCCTCTGCGCGTACACACGTATTCTTTCTCTCTCTCTCGCTCTCGCTGTTTATATATATATATATATATATATCTCCCTCTCTCTCTCTCTCTCTCTCTCTCTCTGCCTCTCTCTTCTCCATCTATATCTCTATCTCTCTCGGCTTCTTTCTAGCTAATAGACCGACCGGTTGTTGGGCACCGGCAGCCACCGGCATTTTCTTTTTCACGTTTTCACGCGCCCCGCGGCCAAAGAAAGTCATTCATGTTTCGCGCAGGATGCGCGGGGGGCCCCAAAGTAAACGCCGGCCCTCAATAGGTGGGCGGGGAGTTATTGCAATTTTCCTGGGAAAGGGCGTGCAAATTACGCATTTAAAGGCCCGGCACACATTTTCGGAGAACT